TTTTTTTTTTTTTTTTTTTTTTTTTTTCCCCTCTCACCGTGGATGCGGACATAGCTTGGCCGAAGATATCCGCTGCGTCGCGTAATCTCGGATCTGCGCTGGGATCGAACATACTAGCCGTTGGCTCCTTTGAGAGGTCGATGACAGCGCTTGCCACGTCAGCAGCGTCCGAAGCCGGAGGAATTGACAGCTGGCAGAGAAGCGCGCCAATGCCCAAAGAGACGGTGGGGATGAGGAGGGACAAGCGTCGGCCGATCTGCGGCGGCGGCGGCGGCGGCGGCGAGGAGAGACCGTGCGAACCCGCGGGCGACCTGCCGGTGGGGTCGGCATCCTGATCTGCTGGATAAGGAGGAGGAAGATCGGTTTTGACGGGAAAACTTTCCCGCCCTTTCAGCGGGGCCAATTCCTTCCCCCCGGCGGGGGCAGCAGCAGATGCCGGCGGGAAACTTGGGCGGGAAACCTGTGGCGGGAAACTCTCTCCTCTCAGCTTTCCCGCGCAACAAGACACAGTGCGTGTGGCGTCGGCGGCGCCGCCAATCCCGCCGCAATGCACCTCCTTCCCCTCCCCCCCCCTTTTCTTCCCCTTCCCCTTCTCCTTCGACTTCCATGTCGGCCAGGATGCTCTCGAAGAGTCAATTCCACCGCTCGGGCGCCATAGCCGGCCTCTTGCACTATGCTTCGCCCCTGTGGCACGGGAGGACCCCAAGATCGCTGGTCGAACCCCAAGTCCATCGTCACACCGTCGGCAAAGCCGGCAAAGCCGGAGCGCAGCTGCTTGATTGATAAGCGAAGGAGAGGGTGGAGACATCGCATGTACTAATGAGTTAATAATTACCTTCCGTCGAGGACGACGAGGCCACAGGGCAGCGCAAGCGCATTGAGACAACCACCCACCCCCCTTGCGATCACTGCCCCCCTCAAGAAGAGAAGGCCAAATCGGATCGTAAATGACACAACGTTCTCCATTGGGGGGGGATCTAGGGCCGTCAGATCTACGGAACGAGCGCCCAAGATTCCGCCGAAGATTTAGCACTTTTACCCCTTCCCTCGCGCAACTTGTCCCTTCACTCTTGGAAGCGCCGCCCCCGATCAGGATGGACGATCTTCGTCTTGCGCTGGTGGCTGTGGAGGAAGCTCCTCCGCGATGACGAAGCTTCGGCGATGGTGGCGGAGGACACCATCGCCGTCGACCGGGAATCTCCCAAGCCGTCGTCGTCGTCGTCGTCGTCGTCGTCATCTTCTCCGCGATCGTCCCCGCCTCCCGCGCGCTGTGCCACTTCAGTAAATGCCTCTGGCGCACATGAGCGCAACCTGCTGGCTGGCAAGTGTTTCTCCATAGCCCCGTAGGTAACCCAGTCCCAACGCTTGGTGCGATACACGCCTGGGTCATGATTGTCCTCGGCGAGCCAGCACGCAAGCTCTCACACAGAGAGAGAGAGAGAGAGAGAGAGAGAGAGAGAGAGAGAGAGAGAGAGAGAGAGGTGGTAATGAACAAGGCGATTAAGCGGATTGATCGAAGATTTTCGGGTTGCGATGAGGCTGGAGTTTCTATGCCGCCACGTGGCTCACCAGGAGCCCGTAGCAGGGGCAGAAATAGCACGTGGTCAGAAATTGGGGACTGTTCTGAAAGATGCTACCGTCTGCACCCGAATCGAGCGCCCTGTCCTTATCGCCGCACCTAGTCTGAATGTTGCACCAATTACAGATATCGTGACCGGCCGTTCTTTTCCGGTGAAGACGGTGGTCGTTCAGAAAACAAAACAAAAAAAAGGCTACAGTAGTAGTTCACTTACAAGAAGAGAGGGATTTGGAAAAAAAAAAAAGAAGAGAGAGGGATACAACAAAAAAAGAGAGAGAGAGGGATAACATAAAAAGAAAAAAAAAACGTTTTCAAAATTCAAATGCTGTACTGATCAGCCCGCTGTGCCGCCGACGGTCCGAAGGCCGACAAAAACCTCAGGACTTCTTTTTTTTTGTTGTTGTTGTTGTCTCTTTATGAAAGCTCAGAAGTCGGCCAGTGCTTCTGCGCCGACTGCTCCTGGGGCGTGGTCCCACTAGCAAAGAGGATCGGATCGAATGCCTGCATCTGGCCGTGTTTGTCGAGAGGTGCAGGAAGTCGAGATTGAACTGCTTTTCTGCATCTCTGCATAAAACACATCCAGATTCAGGCATTCGATCCTATCCTCTTTGCTAGTGGGACCTCGGCCCTGCTTCTTTTCTGAATTTATGCGTCTCATCGTCCTCTTTTTTTTTTTTTTTTTTTTCGCACAGCGCCCATGCTAATCTTCGTTCTCTGTAAGGGGAAAAAAAAGAGAAAAAAAACGTGTTTCTCTGTATCGTTCCCATTGTAAAAGATGTCCCGAAGATACGACTGCCCCTGCTCCGTTTTTTTTTTTTTTTTTTTTTTTTTTTTTTTTTTTGCTCCTAACGATAGTACTAATAAAAGGCGATCATCAGTGAACTACTCGGTGGCAGGATCTATCTGACTCCAATGTCTACG